GCCCACAGTATGTCTGGGTATCCTAGCAATAATTGGGTGGACCACCATTCCGCAGTACGTCGTCATTGGAATAGGAGAGAAGAGTACGTGCTACGAGATTTGGAGGAATGAGATCCTGGTTCCGTATATGAGGGGTACTATGAATGGTTCATGGTGAACACTGTCAGACTGATATCCAATCCCGGTAATTATGAACCTCAAGTATACGAGACTTCTTCGAGCCGCGTGAAATTATATGTGAGTTCATTCTAGATTTCTTATGTTTTCATTTTATTTTTATTTTTTTTATTTTTTTAGAATTTTACTCTCTTAATTAACGTCCCAATTTCTTTTCAGGGTGAAGTATTGAACAACATTCGTGTGAGTACCGAGAGGTTTAGAGAAAAACGAGAAGATGATAATCTCCTAAACGAAGAACTCGACAAGCATTTGGACGATATCATCAATCAAACACATGTTGCTTTAACCTTGGGCGCAAATGATGAGATGGAGGTGGAGGATACCCAAATCCTGGTTGATGAAGATCCATCTTTGCCCTCACAACCTCCGCCGTGTAAAAAAGCGAAACCGTGGTCGAGAGATAAGATTGGAGGAGGAAGAAAGAGAAAGGTCACAATCTCCCTCGGACATCGCAACAACAAACTGAAGGTCAACAAAATGAGGATCAAACACATTCTTCTCGAGGCTCGCGGATCCAGGTCGAGACTCATTTTGAAGACGCTGGTGGACCCGAGACTCAGTTTGACCTTGGTGGACCTGAGACTCAGTTTGACCTTGGTGGACCCGAGATCAGTTTGGTGGACAGTCGCAACCACAACCGGGAGTCAAATTTCTCACCATGGGGGAGTCCCAATCCCAACCCCAACTCGAGGCTCAGTTTGGTGGACAGTCGCAACCACAACAGAGTTCAATACTCACGTATCTTAAGGGGAAAAACAGGATCCGGCAGGGCCCAAACAAATACACTCCGGATGTGCACAATAAAGGAAAAGGGAAAAATTGAGACATTTGATGTATTTTGCACATTTAAAGTTGTTTTTGTATTGATTTTTATATGAAACTTAATTTGTTTTGTTGTTAATCGAATGTCGTTTATTGTTTTGTTGCCATTAAATTTCTGTTTTCCAATGTTTCATTGTTGTTGGTGCTGTAAACAGGTTTAGGACTGGTGAAAACCAGTCCAATTTTTTTTTCAGTTCTGACAAAGACTCGGATTTGCGAAATCCGAACTCAGACTTTTTGTAAAGGATTCGGATTTCGGAAATCCGAGTCTGTAGCCAACTGAGAGTCCCCATTTTTCAGAAAACAGAGGAGATTCAGATTTCGGTAATCCGAGTCTACGTATATTCGGATTACCGTGATTCGGTTTTTCCCAAATTTAATTTTTCAACACATTTTTTTCTCTATCTGAAAATTAATATTTTATTCATAAATACGGATTTATAAAATTCGGATTTAGATTAATTACACTAATTTTTGTCATTAACTTAATATCAGATTTACGTCACACAAAGTCGGATTTTTATAATCTGAGTTTATTGGAGTTCGGATTTCCGAAATCCGAGTTTTACCCCCATTCGGATTTCCTAAATCCGGGACATATAAGTTTGTCCACAAAATTTTTGAAAGGTTTATTTTTATCCAGGTATATATAAGAAAATATATTTAAGGAAAAAATTCCAAAACCACTATGTATAGTCTACCTATTTTCTAAAATCACATTTTAGTACTTCTATTTTTTATTTCATAAAATCTAATCCCTAAATAATCCAGGGGCGTGACAAGGACATACGGAGAAAATGCCTTCTTGGATATTACTCTTTTGGTGATTTGGTGGCCCAAAATGTAGTTGGTTAACGCCCTTCCAGAGGACACATGCATTGATGATTGAGCCATTGACAAACAAATCGTACATATATATATATATATATATATATATATATATATATAGTTTTTCTCCTAAGATACGATGTCGCTTAATTAGGATCCTAATGGTTTCGCAGTATATTTTAACGGTAACATAATTAATATATTATATTACAATTTACTTAAAAAATAACTATTTACTATTTAATATTAATCTTAACGTGATGATAAGAAAAATATATGCCTGATATTTGTACGGTGATCGTCCAGTTTCATTTTGGTAACTATGTCCGTCGATCGATGCCGCAACAAATTAAAATTCGTTGGCAATCTGTCTTTAGCAGCTACCGTCGTCCAGTTTTATTGGATTTGATTTCTGAATAAACTCCGCCGTACTGATCATTAAAGGAATCCGACGTGAATTCGTCTGGCGGGACAATCCCTGAATATATTCATCATCCAAATCCGCTTGCCGTTGTTACTGCTGCTGCCATGATAAAATTTTAATCATAGAACTACTAAGTTATTTTGTATCTACAGTAGAAACAGATCGAGGATGGGAGAGTGCCGACCGCGACTGAGGATGATTTACTGGTGAACAAAAAAAGAAACAACCACGATCGTCGATGAAGAAACAGCCGACGACCGACTCCAAGAATCAAAGCACCCCAGATGTAACCGACGAAGGGGCGAGCAGAAGGGGTCCATCCTGGAGATCCCAGAGACGAGTTGATCGTCGGATGAGAGAACGACGTCATGGACGAAGTGAAAGTGGTCGGTGAGGTGGCTGTGGGTCATGTAGGCCGGTGAAAAACGTAGGGTTATGTTTGTTTCTTTTTTTTTTTTTTTTTTCAAAAACGTATCATATATCTTAAATTAATTTTAAACTTAGCCGATGAAGATATTTTTATTTTTGGAAAATATATTAGATTTGAGATGTTGTCATTGTTTTATATGATAACATTCGAGTAATTTTAAATTTAATTAGTGATTGTATATGGAATAGTTTTAAATAATAATCAAATGAAGATTGAGTTTTATCTCAACTCAAATTTTGTATATAGGTAATTGTAACATATTTAAAATTTGAACACTAATGACATAATCTGGCTCTCTCCTTTATATATCATCTCTATCTCTTCTTGCTCAGCCTTTTACAATCTACTACCACCATCTTTGCATCATCGGCTAACCAGCGAATCCACTGTCTCATAATCTTCTTGCCTAAAAGGTGATTCATTTGAACTATTTTTAATTGAGTTTAATTAGCATATTTTATACTTTTGTTAATTTTGTTATTTTGATTTATGTCTTTAATGGCTAGATCTTCTAACATTGTTAATTTTCTTTCATATATGTGATTTCATGGCTTTTTAGGCAAGAAATTAAATTTTGTGATTTGACGGTACCGAACTAGGGCTTAATTGCCCGTTTGGATTCTAGCCTTTGTGATGGTGTTGGATTGAAACTTTGGAGATGAAGGATGATGATGCCTTTAATAGATGATCGAAAGTAAATTGTTACCGATGAATAGGTCATGGTTTTCTCATATTTTTGGGAGATTTTCGGTATAATATTTGGTTTTTTATTCACACGGCACCGGGAAAAAGGATTCACAGCGCCGCCGGAAATCAGGAACACCACCGGTACATCGAGGGGGAAGATGGAAGAGAAAGTCAAATGTCTCGCTATGGTAGGCACCGGAGCGCTGATTGGTTCCGTCGCCTGCAGCTCTCTTCAAACTTTTTCCCAGGTTCTTTACTGTAGAGAGTAAACACTTTTTCGATTATTTATGTATCACACACTGAATTAACCTAGCTGGATTTATTATTTTCTTGTTTGACTTGCTTCCGTATAAGTGTGAGGAAAGAGTGTATTAAAGAAACAGTGAAGGCAAACGGTAATTATTCTGCTTTATGAGTAATTTATACTATTTCTTTTTGTCTAAGAAATTGGATGTTTTTCTTCTCATAATTTTTTTGCGTCCAGAGATGAATTTCTTGTTGGAACTGTTCATAAAGCTTACATGATATGAGAAATTTCAATAGGTGTTCTAAGTTGTTCTTGCTGACTTTTATGGCAAGATTGAAACACTACAATTATTTTGAAGTTGGTTAATTTTGATTTTGAATTAATGTAATAATTTGCACATAACAAATAATCTATCTTTGAAATATACAATATAATACCGCATAAATAAATTTAATATTTAAGCACATTCTTAAATAGTTAACATTAGAAAAGGAATAAAAAAAAAACTAACATATAATAATTAGGATATTATTTTATATTTTTCAGAAGGACCGTATGAAAATTTTCATAGAAGACTAATAGTATTCAAAATTTAACACCAAAAATTAAATCAGCCGTGCAAAGCGCGGACATAGTACTAGTATTGGTGAAATGTTAATATGTCTATAATGGGAATTAAACATTATTGTGAACGGTAAATATTAAATTGAAAAATAATAATAATAATAATAATAATAATAATGTCTCCTCAAAAGAACGACATGTCTCGAGTTTTGATTAGTCAAAATAATGATTTTGAACGGAGTATTTAAAATACACCAAAAAAAATGTTGATAGTTTGCAGTTGTTTGTGCATTTATGGTCATCCCCGATTTGAGACTACTACAAAGTAAACAATTTAAAATGTGGTAGTGTACATGTATCATGTATTATTCTCATTTGACTTGATACACAGAAGCCAAACTTTCACATTAGTGCAACTAATAATATGTAGAAGTACAGGTGTTGTTCAACTCATGAGAAAGGGTTACATTAAGTTATTATTTTTTAAAAAGTAATATAAAAATGTCTCCGGTATAGATTATGTAAAAATACATGCGTATATGTACTTGGGTTCGTTTTCATTCGTTTTTTAGGGTGTATTTCTACTCAATTCTCTATTGGATTGGATGCAATAATGATATTCGAAAATTACATATACTTATCATGTACTGTGCTCATTTGCAGTAGTTTCGACTATTTATCAAATGATTGCAAGATAAGCAATATTTCTATTTTTATTTTCTTTTTCTTTTTTTAACTAGTAGTGATACATGTATGTAAAAGAGTTGTCCTCAAGTCACTTTCTGGGATAGAAACAGCCAAACAGGAATTAAAGATGTCATATGCAAAATTGTAAACCCCAATTTTGAGTATTTGTATACTCGTCTACCTACTGGTCCACAATGGGAAACTTTGTATATTTGGATGAAGTGAAAGTGGAATCAGTTTTGTTTTGCAAGAATCTTATCCTTCATAATGTATATAACTATTGTTTAGCTTTCTTGAAGGCCCTACTCTGCTATATCAAATTTTCTGTACTGCAACATTATTGTCACAGTTCCAATGGATGTAATGCAATAATTGCAATATGGAGAGAAGGATTCTGAAGAGAAAACAGAAGACATTGATATTCATTTATCTTACAACATCATCAACATTTTCACATAAACAATAACATTTGTTTGATTTAGCCATGCCAAACACAACCAGTTACTACCAAACCATGGCCAATTGATTCAGAAAAACAAAACCTACAATGACAAATTCTGAAGCATCATCATTCTCTACACAGCACCAAACTTCATCGCCATTTGACCACATAGCTATTGGCAAAATCTGTAAACACATTTTCTTGCCAATTTTATTTCTGTCTCCATCTCTTTCTTAAGCATCATGGTGGAGCTTGTTGGCAACATTGCACTGCCTCCTGATCTCTCCCTTGGTTCCAGTAAGAGGGTTGTTCTCAGAAAGGATGGTGATTGCTCTAGCAAACTCCTGGAAGAAGTAATCTTGGCTCTTGGCCATTTTCTTGACCAAAGGCAAGGTTCTCTTGTCATTAGCCAACTGGTAGTCAACCAGCAACAGTCCCTTGTTGTCCAAAATGTTCCTGTAGTAGTTGTTGTCTAGTTTCATGGGTGTGCCTCTGTCATTCCTCACATACTGTACGGCCTTTGGGTCAGGAATTGCATCAGGGCATTTCTTCAGCATGTGTTCAACATGGTCTGCTGGGAATGATGGATCAACCTCTGGGTATAACCTGTGAACCAATTTAACACAGTGGGTTCTTCCCACACTGTGAGCACCTGCAATTGCAAAAACCATGCAGAAAAAAATCAGTTTAATCCTTCTAACCTTAATAAGATATTTTCCATATGGATTAACTGATCAACTACTGAACTGAATGCATAAGTGATTTAGCAGTTAACTTTTTGGGGCGGATGCATGTGGATATTTAAAAGGAATGGGAAAGAAAAATAGTGTACCTAACAAAGCTACCACTCCTTTGGTATCAATTCCAATAGATGCAAATCTTTCAAGAACAACAGTCAAGCTTTCATTATGGTCTGGCAAATATTGCTCCAGAATCTCTGCTCTGCTCCTCCTTCCATCTCTTCTTCCTGTTTTCAGTTGGATGTGTGGTCCTCCCACCTACAAACAAACAGTACCAAAAAGTCAAAGCTTTTAGCCACTTTTAAGAAAACTGAGCACATGATAAAGAAGAATTGAGCTTGTGAAAATCAGAAGCTTTAGTTAGTTGTAGTAAAAAGTTCATTGCTTTTTTCAAAGTTATTTCCAGAGCCCAGAAGTATAGTATGCAACTTTTTTTTAATTTTTTCACCAACAAGCTCAGAAGCTGATAATTGATCAAGCAACAAGCAATTCAGGAAGCATCTTTTAGCATTATTGAAGAATTTCGCATCAATTGAAACCACATCAGTGTGATCTCTGTTTCTACTTTCAACAAAAATTTCAAAAAAAAACATGAAACATAGATTACCAATTCAATTCCATCTCTGGCAGACAAGACGAGGATATCAGCACAGGAAACAACACCGGGGCATTCCCTCTCCACTGCTTCTTTGACTTCTTCAAGGTACCTGAAGTTCCTCATTCCAAAGCTCCTGTCTGTTTCCTTCTCGGACAGCACGGTCCTGGTTGAATCCAGCAGCAGGGATGCATCACAGCTCTTCAAGAAAAAAAAAGAACCCAACTCATAAATCCATGAAAATAACAAAACTAACCATCAAAATACTAGATCATAAAAGAGAAACTTCAGACACATTGAGCAGCAGGCTAATATAACATGTATACATAAAAGCTGGTGAAACTTATGTTCTTTCCTTTGCATTATAAAATTTAACTGAATTAAAAACTGGGTTTTGTTCGAAAAAGGAAAAAAAAGGGAATTGGAAATGTTTAAATTAGGTACCTGAACAAAGCAGTCATGGAAGAGGTTTCGGAGCCAGGAGAAAGCGGTGTTCTTGTGACGCTTGTACAGAAGCTTGACTTGCTCCCTGATGATGTCTTCAGCCTGGGGACACGTGTCCTTGTAGAAGTTCAAGACCAAACCAGGGTCTTGCTGAGCCTCATTGTCTTCTGCAGCAAAAGCAGAGACGGAGAAGATGGCCACAAACAGAAGGAAGCAGAGAGCTTTGCTGGAAGCCATGAATTGAGATAGAAAGTGTGAGTGATATTTCTTTCCCTTTTGGCTGAGGAAACGACTTCTTAAATAAAAGCAAAAGAAAACTGGTGAAAAAACAGGACTGACTATTTTCTTTTTTTTTTTTCTTGGCTCCTTTTTCTTTTTCTTTTTCTTTTAATTATTAGTATAATTATTTTCATTTTTTGATTAGTGGGGAAGAGGGCAAATTGCACATTACATCCTTTTGGTTGTTAGAGGGGCACTTTCAGTTTTTTATATTTATAGTACCACCCACTATATTATTTATTTCAGGGGAAAAAAGTCCTCTCTTCAAAAAAAACAACAACTTTGAAAGTTTCATACAGTTTCTTTTGTTTTGAATTGAAGGTATTACAAATAATTAAAATTGTATCTTTTTTTAATTATTTAGATATTGTATTTTTGGTGGTTAATACATTGACTTCCTCGTAACATTTAACAATTCTACAAATTGCAAAAACATGAATGAATAATAAATTTTATCAAAAATTTAATAAAAAAAAGAAATATGTAACAAAAATAAATTTTCAGAGACTCTTTGATTTATACATATATATAATCTTTTTTTCAATAGAAGGAATAGAATTAAAGGATCAAGCTGGATGGTCAAGAGTTTAGTACGAGATTATTATTATGAGGAATTTAAATTTGGCTCACACAACTGGCTAAAAATATTGATAATTAAAAGAAAATTGATGTCAAGGACTTTCAAAATTACCCTTTGATAAATGGGGGAAATTGGATTGAATCTTCTTGACGAAGAACAAATATAACATATTGAATTGAAACTGTAAGCAGCTATATATAGCTGTATAATTTTTTGTTTTGACGGGCTAAAAAGATAAAAGTTTATTTATACAGGAGGGACTTTTCTAAATTACCTGTTTTTATTTATTTACTTTTTCTTTCTCCTTTGTGAGAATTTATTAACGATGAAGAGTTTGACATATGTATACGTGCAGCATTTACTGTGTCGATAACGGTTAAGCAAAGCAACGAAGTGTTTTAGCACCGCAATCAACCTATTTTATAATTCAATTTTGTTTTGGGAATTGAGCTTCCCTTATTTTTATTTATCTTTTTCATCACAAACGCATATATATTTTTTGCATGCCTCATCAATCACACTGTCTCTTTTTTTTGTTCCCTGTATTTTTTTTCCCCATGTAAAATGAACTTACGTGTTTAAACATGAAGATCACCCTATAAAAAAGAAAAATAAAGATATATATATATATATTTGGACTTTGGAGGGCAAATTATATAAAGATATATATATATATATATATATATATTTGAATGGAGGGCAAATTCTTAGGTGCACCCGGAATCACTATAGTTCCCCATCTATTTTCGCACAATTATCTATAAAACTGATTCTCTACGTGAAAGATTTTGAAAATTTCAAACAAGATTCACCTGACAAACATACAAAACATATCAATAATTTCAAATTTTACAGTAATTCTCATATTCAGCAACATATATTGCAACAAAACTCACATGATTTGATGCACAATCGGATTCCGTCTTCAAAAATACCGCCAAATATAGGTTTTGATGCCACATTGCCGCAGAAAATATTTGGTTTTTTGGATTTTTTTTGTTTTGTTTGCGTCTTTGAATTGAAATAGGAAGTTGGATATAATTAATGATGGCTCAAAATTAGAAGGAATATTCGAAAATTGAAATTTGAAAATCTCTCTTTTTTTAGCGCGTGAATTTCAAATTAGGTGTACCTAAGAGCTCTATATTATAATTGCCTTTGGATGTAAATCATGTAGTGAATATACATGTGGACGTTTCAAAGTCATGAAAATTACCAAATATACTTGGTGACAAGAATAGAACTATCCACGAACATTATACGTGTATTTATCTATAATGTAATTAATCAAATTTCTAACAATCGCAAAGGCCGGTCAATCCCTTCGTTGCCTCTAGTTTGTCCTTGGATATAATCAATTATTCAAATATATGGTCTCTAATAGACTAATAGACGATCTGTTTTGCGAGAAATCACCAAACACAATTTTTAAGTAGGGTTTGAATCATACATACGGAACTATTCAATTCAAAGGGAGTTCCTTGAACGTGTCTAGACTCTCCTCTATATTTTGGGTATGTGAAATTATGGATAGGATTCGGGCTGGTCAAGTCAAAGATCAAACCACTCGATTTTGATTTATATTATCATTATTGGAGGGGTTGTATATTATAAATTGAGTTATAATTTTTGTGTTTGTGTATCCATAGTATCTTGCACGAACAAGCAACACCCAAAATGTCAAACTTTAATTTGGGATCTAATTAAATGACAACCCACGAAAACCATGTTTGGATTTCAACGCTCTCTTGTAGTATCAGTAAACCATTTTTATTTTATTTTATTTTTAAATATAACAGCTTCCGAATTTGAAAGTGCAATTTCTTTTTCTTCAAAAAGCTCAATAGATATTATCTTAACTTATTATGGAGTACCCCTTTCTTCGGTTATTTTATAAAGCATCTATAGCATTATACTAAGACAGAAAACAGAGAGAGAAAACAAAAAATAATTCTAAAGGTGCCACATATAATAAAATCCTATGTGTCATTTTTCTAATGGTTGAGTCAAAAAATATTTACAATAATTATACTAATAGTCCTTCAAATTTTATGTAAATAAAGTTTTATCAAATGGCATTTAAAACTATAGTTTAAAATAGGAAAATAAAAATTAATTAAATTTAATGGACGGGATTAATGAATATTAATGCACCAGAATTATTCTCTCCCCAAAAGAATCCTCAAAGTTACTACTGGACTCATTTAATTAATCTCTCTCAAAAAAAAATCCCCCTCCCAATCATGTAAATCAATAGACTACAATTATTACTAAAAGGATGTGATTTAACTATAATTAAATGTTATCTTTTGAATTTCAAGCCAATGCATTTATTTGTGTAATATCATATTTACCCAAATAAATATAATCTTTCCTTAATAATATCTCAAAAATTGTTATAAAATTTATCTTTCTCACTGAAATTTTGGATAATCAATTATCATCAATCCTAATTTATCTCTATTTATTTTCACTTTTAGATAATAAAATTTTGGATAGTAAAATATACTCCAAAACCCTACATTACTGATGGATTATAAATAAAAATAATAAAATTCATTTTACACTTTTTATATTTTTTTGTTGATTTTTTATAATGTAAATAAATAAATCCCGCGCATCGCGCGGGTTTAACATCTAGTTAATTAATTAAAACTAAGTGTAACTTTAGTTTGTATCTAATAAACCATGCTGTAAAATAGGAGTTAACAAAGGTTTTAGAAGATAAAATATGCAGGCCTTGATAACGATGGGAAGAAATAATTCACTAATAAGTAGTCTTTTTAAGAGAATATGGATGACACCGACAAATTACATCAAGAAGAAAATAACCCCAAAGTTTTTGCAAAGAAATTGGGGGTGGGGGATATGTAGTAGACTTCACGCATTTTTAAATCCTACTTGTTCTTTCATTATTATGCAAAATCGTCGACCAAAGCTTGCTTACAAAAGTAAACAAGATTTACTTTCAAAGAGGAGTACCTATTAAGTCCAGTCATACAAGTGAATACAATTATCAAAGGATTACTTTCTGAAGGAATCCAAACTTTAATTTATAATATAAAACATATAAAAGTACCTTAGTCATAATCCTACATATTCGACTGACAATCACTAACCATCATCATTGGAATCAAATATCATAGTTAATTATTTTGCCGTAAATTAATTGATTGGACCTTCAAGTTTCGATTTAATATCCTCTTTGAAAATAATTTCAAATAATCTCTTCAATTGTATTGTTATTTGCTAAAATTATATAAGTGGTGTGTGACCATGATGCACTTGATTTTCTTGCAATTTCATGCAATTTACTCCAATGTATTTCGGATAAGTATGACAAGCAAAAGTACCCTGTGTCGTTCATTGATCTGTCCTAAACATATAAACGATGATAATTTTTATTTGGAAGAAGTTAAAATGTTAGTGTAAGTTGAACAAGATTAATAAGTCTTGTTTTCAAGATAATTAAGGGGTAAAAAAGAATGCAACCTCGTCATCTAGGGACCAATTGAATAAATAATGGTTCATGCCCCATTTTTTTTTTTTCAAATGAATGGGCCCAGCGACCCTCGACCTCCCATCCAGGACCTCCTAGTAATGCCCCATTTATTTATAGACTAAATTGATATTAACATCGGCAATTTGTTTGCCTTCTAAAATGACTCGGGAGAAAGGAGGAGCGTCGTCCTTATATCGATCAATTAGTAGGTTTCACTATGGCTCCCGAAAGCAATGATATTATACCCAATGCGACAAAACCAAAAGCAACTTCTTTTTCATCAAAAATAGTAGAGAAATGGGAATTATTATTATTATTATTTAAGTTGAGTGATTTCGAGCTTTTGTTAATACATATTTCATGCGGTGTGCATAGTGTATACGACAAAATATAGAAGCAAGCCCAAATTTTTTTTTATATCAAATAGTAGGTAAAATAGTATTTTTTTGAAGTGATTTTATTGTAACGACGAACAAGTAGAAGACATGAATTTTTTTTTTTATTGAAATTAGCTGCTGGCATTTTTATTTTGACACTGTATATATAGCGTGAGATTAAAAATTGACTTGAAATTATTTTTCAATTTCACGAATAAAAATATTTTTAAAAAAATAAAAGGCACACGTTAATTGCGATGTTTTTTGCTGTACTTCTAACAAAAAAACTTGAAGCTTAAAAAGATTGATTATGTAGCCAAGAAAATAAGATGGAAAATGTGAGATGAAATAATGATGGGTCAAAAAGATGATTAAAGGAAAAAAACAATTACTATGGGTGAAGGTGAAGCCAAGCCGGGGGAGAGTGAGTCGTCGGCTTAGGACCACCGACAGTTCTACAAGAAGTAATAATGAGAGCAGCAGCCTCCAATCAGCTTCCGTACCGTGACCCGTGACTCATCATCAATCCTTCACCGCTCTTATTGATTTGTTTTCCTTCTTCGTTTCAAAATCTTTAATTTTTTTTTTTCCCCTTCTTTTTGTTTGCTGGTGGAAGGAAGCCTGGAGATTCACAAACTAAAAGGATCATTATTGATAAAGTAATGAGCTTATCTTTAGCTA